TGTGTGTAGGTAACCACAAAGAAATTCTTAACTCTTTGGGTTTTCTACAGTCCTCCGCTTTGCCAGCTGAGCTATTGAAGGGAGCGGGACTTGGGGTTTTCTATCTGTGCAGCTACCGCTCACCCTAATGCCTAACCACAATGATGACATTAAAAGGTTACTATGTTGTGTTCGTCGTGTGGTCATACATGGCTTTTGAGGGACTTTTCCTTCTGAACACCCCTCATATTCAGTATTAACCACAGAGTTTCATGATTCTTTTGTTGTTATTATTTTCTAATACAGCCTTCGGATCAAGGTGGGAGTGACATTAATGTATTTTTTTTTCCTGCTTCATTTCACAAAGGATTTGAGCATTGATGGAAACTATAATTTAGGACTGAAAGTTTAAAAAGATTTATAATCACTGTCTTTTCATATTTTGTTTTAAAATTTTGACTGTCTTTGAATAAGGAGTATATTACATGTTGCATGTTTTTTAAAAATGTAAAACGTCTCCTCTTCCACCCTGTCCCTTTGCTCAGTTTCCATCCCTAGAGGGAACCAGCATTGGAAGACTGTATGTTTTCAAAAGTAATTTAAGCATAGGCATTTCCCCCCCCTTTTTGTACAAACCCTTACACACTCTACATACTGTTTTATACTTGATTTTATCACATAAAAATTTATCTTGGGGGCATTTCCAAAGTTAGGCATAAAGAGCTTTCTCATTTTTATGGCTGTTGTTTAAAAGTTCCATAATTTAGCCATCTCCTATTGATAGGCACATAACTTTCCATCTGTATTAACAGCCCCATAGAGAAGAACCTTGTACACACACAATTCTGTATTTCATTCCATTCCTTCCACAAGTATTTCTTGAGCACCCCATCTGTGCTACACAATATTCTGAGTTATAGGAATATAGCAGTGAACATACAGACCCCACTCTGAAGGAGCTTGCAATCCAATTGGAGAGACAGACAGTAAAAAAATAAGGAAAAAAATACATATACATGCTATAGAGACACAGTCTGGGAAAAAACCAAACAAATACATATACAAATGGTTAGGGATGGCAAATGCTTTGAAGAAAAATAACTTCAGGCTCTCTTCATGAACAGAGGAAAAGTAGATACTGGCTGGATGAGTGGAGGTCAGGGCAGACCCCGACCTCATTACCCACCATCCACACAAACTCCTAAGATCTACAGAATAGGGGGATGCCATGGGCTCATACCCCAGGAATGAAATTGAGGGCTCAGAGCAAAATATTCCAGCTCTCCATCTAGGGTGGAGAGTAGGTCCTGTTAATTTTTATTTTTTCCCTCTCATTCTCAAGGTCAGTATTTTTCAAGCTTTTTCCCCCCCTCCCTTTTTACTCACAACCTTCCTCCTTTATTCCAAGAACCTTTTTAGACATTCCTCTTCCCAGTCACTCCTCCCACGAAATTGTAATCATTATATTAATAGTTTATATTGGTTTATATACTGTGGCCATTTGGAGGGCCACAGTTATAGCTAAGATGCTTTTCTAGCCCCATTCCTTAAGAACCAACATCCTAGACCCTCACAGAAAGTAGGCTTTCGGACTGTAGCCCTCTGGCCTGCCAGTCAGGCTGTTTCTCTGTACAGGTGGTGGCAAAGTCACATAGATAAAATTTTCTTGGTGGAAATCTCTTTGTCTTTGAAATAAGAAAGAAATGATTGTTTCTAATCCAAGCCCTCTGGTGGTGTGCATCGGAAAACCTTCCTTGTGTGTAAAATCAGTTGGTGTTTAGGGAGGGTAAAGAGGTAGAATGACTTGTGAACTGCAGGAAGCCTAAGATGGAGAACAACAGGAAAAGTTTAGGGAGCAATTAAAAAACCAAAGGGAAGGTCTTCCTATTCCCTATCCCTCCCTGCTCCCATGTTACCTTATTCGTATGTAGCATCCCATAGCATTTTAAACAATATGTATTCAGCACTTCCTGGGTGGCAGGAAGTAAGCTAGCACTTTTCACATACATTAACTCCTTCTATCTTCGCAACAGCTGCTCCCAATAGGGTATAGGCTTCCACTTTATGGATGTGGTTAAAAGGGTCAGGCACAAAGCTCATCAGCCAGGCAGTATTGATCCTTCTCAAGCCACTTTTTTCCTCTGCCTCTAATACAGTATGTAATGGCATAATGTAGTAGAGTTGGCTGCGTACTGACTGCCCCTGTTCCTAGAATACAAGCTTTCCACGGTAGGAATAGTGTTTTGTTCAACTTTATCCAGCTTCTAGCATAGTATGTAGCACAGAGTAGATATTCAGTAAATGATGGATGCATAGACAGAATGACAAATGAATACACTTACATATGAGTAAAATTATTTCTTGAGTGAGGGGACCCACAACCCTTTCCATCTCTAATCTGATTCTGCAGGTCCCTGCAGTCTTGGTTCCACACTACTAAAAGTGATTTCACCAAGATTACTAGGGGTCTCCTTGAAAACAGTATGTTATAAACTCTTATGTCCTCGTTTTGCTTTTCTTTTTACACTTGACTGCCTCTCCCTTGGTTTCCCTGCCACTCCTCTGCAGCTGGTTAGCAGCTGCATCTCCTTCTCCCTTGTAGATTCCTCTTTGTGCCATCTTAAAATCAAGGAGACCCAGGCCACTGCCTCAGAACAGTGAAAAAAAAAAAAAAATCTACTCCTCAGCTATAGATAGTACTTCCTAAATATCTTGTCTTTTTAATGGAATCTGAAGGTAGAGGTATGAACAGAACAGTCAAGGTCCCTGCCCTCATTGAGCTTACGTGCTCGTTGGGGAGACAGAATACACAAGCTGAAGGCTTTGTATTACCTGACTTTGAATTATACTACAAACCTATACTAACCAAAAAGCATGATACTGGTATAAAAACAGACCAATGGAACAGAATAGGGAACCCAGAAATAAATCACGCATTTACAGTCAGCTCATTTTCAACAAAGGTGCCAAGAACACACATTGGAGAAAGGACAGTTTCTTCAATAAATGGTGCTGGAAAAACTGGATATTTGTATGAAAAAGAGTGAAATTAGACCCCTATCTCTTGGCATATACAAAAATCAAATCAAAATGGATCAAAAACGTAAAGATAAGACTTGAAACTATGAAACTACTAGAAGAAAACATTGAGGAAATGCTTCAGGACATTAGTCTGGGGAAAGATTTCTTGAATAAAACCCCAAAAGCACAGGCAACCAAAGCAAAAATGGACAAATAGGTCACATCAAGCTAAAATTTCTACATAGCAAAGGAAATAATCAACAAAGTGAAGGGAAAGCCCCCAGAATGGGAGAAAATATTTGTAAAGTACCCATCTGACAAGAGATTAATAACCAAAATATATAAGGAGCTCAAACAACTCAATAGCAAAAAAAAAATTTTTTGATTAAAAAATGGACAAAGGATCTGCATAGACATTTCCCAAAAGAAAACATATAAATGGTTAACAGGTATATGAAAATATGTTCAACATCACTAATCATCAGAGAAGTGCAAATCAAAACTACAATGAGATATCTCGTCCTAGTTAAAATGGTTTTTATCAAAAAGGCAGTAACAGGTGCTGGTGAGGATACGGAGAAAGGGCAATCCTCCTACACTGTTGGTGGGAATGCAAAGTAGTATAGTCACTATGGAGAACAATGTGGAGGTTCCTCAAAAAATTAAAAATAGAACTACCATATGATCCAGCAATCCCACTGCTGGGTATATATTCAAAAGCAAGAAAAGCAGTATTATCTAAGGGATATCTGTACTCTCATGTTTATTACAGCACTCTTCACAATAGCCAAGATATGGAATCAGCCTAAGTGTCTATTAGTAGATGAATGGATGAAGAAAATATATATATATACACGGTGAAATCAATCAGCTATAAAAAAACAAAATCCTGTTGTTTTCAAACACATGGATGGAACTGGAGGGCATTATGTTAAGTGAAAAAAGACAGGCATAGAAAGACAAATACCAAATGTTATCACTCATATATGGGAGCTGAAAAAATTGATCTCATAGAGGGTCAGGAGTGTAGAGTGATATCACTAGAGGCTGGGAAGGTAGTGGAGAGGGAAGATAACCAGGGGTTGAATAATGGGTACAGTAATACAGTTAGGTAGAAGAAATAAAATTTAGTGTTTGGCTCTGACTCTGGAGTGGGGTGAAGGGAGGGAAAGGCAACACACGTAACCTAAACATTTGTACCTCCATAATATGCTGAAATTAAAAAAAAAAGATTTAGTGTTTGCTAGCACAATAGAGTGACTACAGTAATTTATTATATATTTCAGAAAAACCAGAAAAGTGAAATTGGAATGTTCCTAACACAGAGAAATGATAAATCTTGAGCTGATGGATATTTCAATCACCTTGATTTGATCTTACACGTTGTATGATTGTATCAAAATTTCATATGTACCCCATAAATATATACAACTATTATATGTACATAAAAATTAAAAATAAAGATTTTTTCAAATAAAAGATAAATCTAAGCCAAAAAAACTCCAAACAGGATAATTTCAGATCATGATACCTGCTATAAAAGAATGTAAAAAAGAAATGGTAAAAGCCAGTTGTATAGTTCCCCCCCCCCCTCACTCTGACAGAGGCAGTTGAAAATTCAGGTTAAGATCTACAATTTGGGTAGTGGTGTAAGTGACAGTGCTAAGATGATTTGAGGAATTACTTGTACACGTGTACCTATACTTGTAACACAGGGTCTGAGAACACAGGCTCTGAAGTCTAAATCCAAATCTCACCCCCCCCCTCATATTCTGTGTGGATCTTCACAAGTGACTCCACCTCTGTCTCTATTCAGCAACAGAGTGGCGCTAGTTTTGCCACTGAACCCACGAAGGTACGCAGGTTCAATGAAATAATGCACGTAAAGCCCTTCAACAGAGCCTGGTGTGTGGAAAATGCTTGGTCAACAGTAGCTGGTGTTATTTTTCTACATGCACCATCTTTTTTTAACTGTCTCCCATCTTTACTTTGTTTTTCAGCTCCAGGGTCTGAGCCACAATGTGATCTTCACCTTGGATTCCTTGTTAAAAGGAGACCTAAAAGGAGTCAAAGGAGTAAGTGTTCAGAAATTGGATTTCCACTTTAACTTGAAAGGATTGATATTTTTTTTCCCCTCTCTTTTAAGATCACAGAAGTACTTGTATTTGAAAGGCACTCAACATTTATAGCATTAAAAATCTTCTTGGAAAATGATCATTGGAAAAAATATGCCACTTTCCATAATGGTATTGACAGAGGAACAAGATTAGACACTTTTAGGAAGATTGGTGAGATCCCAAGTGGGTGGGGGAGAGAAGCCAAGCTCTAGTCCTGGCTCCACTGTGGGCGCAGAGCCTTTAGGCTCCTGCTTCGTGGGCATGACGGGGCGCTCACCCTTCCCGCCTCTGCGGACTTCTCGCGTGTAACAGATGGCGTCATGCGCGTGAAAGTGTCTTGTGTAACGTCAGTAAGAAAGTCATTCTTGCTGAGATATTATTTCAGAATTATTTATTCACTTTCAGCAAAAATAAATACAATTTTAATTTTCTTTTTTCTAAGGATCTCAAGAAGCCATTTGACAAAGCCTGGAAAGATTATGAGACAAAGTTGTAAGTGGTTTTTTGTTTAGTTTTCATTTTGTTTATATTATCATGAGTTTTGTAAGAAAAACTAACTGGAAAATGGACAGAGCCCTTAACTAATACCATCTCAACAAAAAACCATTTAGTATATCCTTGTTAGGGCTAAGAGGTTGGGTATGCTGACCTACTTAAAAGTGGCTACATGTCCTGTGCTGGTTGTCTAGACTGAGAGACATTTTTGCTATCAGTTATTTCAGCATTTATGGCTGTTGATACTGACTGTCAAGTTTTAGATCTATGATTGTTGCCACTTTTATTTCATTACAATTAGTATGTAATGCTGGACCATTTACATTTTGGTATAGGATAGCAATGGGGAGATAATAAAAGTAAAAGAAATAACTAATATTTGTGTCATCTTTCTTTCTGCCTGCCAGGACCTGCGTTAAGTGTTTTTTACAAGCAGGATCTCCTGGCAGCAACCTATTTGTGCCACTTCACTCTGTTTATATATCAGGGAAACTGAAACCTAGAGAGGCTGAGGGGCTTGCAGAAGGGTAGCAAGCTAGTAACTGTCAAGCTGGCATGCACTGCAGGTCTGTCTGATCCTAGAGCCCGAGTAGCATAGTGTGCACTGAAGTCAGACCACTGACCTCATAGGGTTATTATGAGAGATTAGGGCAATGAGCAGTTTGCCTGGTGCCTGGCTTATCTTCATGTTGTGCATGTGATATACCATGTTCCTTTGTTATTACTCTGAGATGTTTGTAACACCAGGGAGTAGGGTGGGATGGGAGGAGATATGTATTTTAAAGCTTTTAATAAAAGTCTTGGCAATAAACTTGGATAACTGTAAACATAAGAGAATAAAAACATTTCTGTAGGCAGCAATAGCAGTAGAGTAAAAACAGAAGCAAAAGAAAAACAAATGTAGGCTTAAATATGTTTTTCCCAAACTACTTTCGTAATTGCTTATGTGATAAGTGCATTGTTGGGGACTTGCTGTTTTAGCAATACTTTTGTGCATTGGCAGCTACAAATACAGCTGAGAACAAAAAGTTTCTTAAAATGGTAAACTGATCAATGAAAGCTGTGGGAAGTTTTTTTCTATATGAAAAGGGGTTGTTAATACTCACACTTAGAGCTAAGTATGCCCCAGCCCAGGGGCAACTGCCCTTGCACTTGGAATATGATACAGCTAATGAAATTAGAAAATGAGAGGGGCAAGTCCACAAAGGAGGGAGAGAAAGCCTTCCTCTAGACTTACAGGATGTGCCTCCTTTGCAAGACATAGGAACAGCAAAACATGATACAGTGCGTGCTTTGGCAATTAAAGTACTACCAATATTGAGTGGTATAACTACTTTTATATTTTTTAAAATCTGTGTTGAAGATCTTGAAGTATCTGGCGGTCAGTGTTCTGAATATGATAGAATATAAAGCGTTCTAAGGTGTTAAGGTGCCCCTCATTGCACTTCTCACACATGATATAAGAACTTGTCAGGCTGTTCATTTGTCTGTATTGTCCTGAAGAATCTGAACTTGGTAGGACAGCAACCACATTGTTTTTGAGTATGATATTAATTCCCCAGTGCTTAGCAGAGTCATAGTTTGTGCATTATATGAATATTTATTGAAGAAATAAAAAAATTATCCAGACCCGGAAATGTGTAACAGGAATAGTGAGTTGAGTGGGTCCTGATTTTAGGACCTTATAAAGGAAATTTTTGTTTTTGTTTCCTTTTTTAATAAATCCCTGTCAACAAATTAATTTGCTGTGATATAGACTTCTTTCTCACTGAAGTATAGTGGTGAAGGAGAAAAAAGGAAACAAGCATTTGTCTATTTATAATAGGACACATTAGATTCTAAGTCATAGAATACAAAATGACTTATGTTAGTTCGGTGGGGGGGAGGGACGAGAGAGATGAAGCATCATGTGTAGCAAAATGTTTATTTATTTTGAGTATCTGGGTGCAGATGGGTGGAGGTCAAAAAAGGTGTCCCCAGGAGACAGGGAAAAGCCTTGGATTTTATAAAGGCTTTTTCTGGGAAGAGTAAATAAATTCTTTTCAAACTACTGGAAGGGACGGGGAAGTCAGTTTCCCTCTTGCATTCCATTCCTTTATCTTCCTAGGGAACAACCGTGAGGGGTAAGGAATTTATATTTTTATTTTTAAAAATCTGTGTTGAAGATCTTGAAGTATCTGGCGGTCAGTATTCTGAATATGATAGAATATTCAGGAGGAATAAAGAAAGTTTCCCTTTTGTATTTCATTCCTATATTTCCCTAGGGGTCTGGCAAAGGCTACAATGTACCCCTAGGAAGGTGAGAGGGGTGGGTTCTATAGTAGGTTTGGGTGGAAGTTTGGAGAGGGTGAATTCTTTAAACCCAACAACTTACAAAAAAAGTTAACTTATTAGCTTTGATAACTGAGAAGGCTGGACATTTTCTGTGGTCTTCCATTTAGAACTTGGGAGTCAGTGAAGTGTAATAGTTAAGATCACAGACTTAGGAATCATTACCAGTTTTGTGACCTTGAGCCAAGATACTTAATTTTGGTGATTCTTAACCTGTAAAATAATATAAAAATTATCTACTTCTCAAGGTTTTTGTGAGGACAAGGTAAGATAATGTATTGAAACAGTTGTCACGATATCTAGCATAGGGTAGTCACTCAACAAATAATTTCTGTCAAGTTTTTCCATAATCAAATATTATTTGGTCAAAATAATACATGCACATAAAACATCAGATAGAACTTATATTAGTTAAGACTTACTTGGACTACAAATAACAATAACTTCACCATTGCAGAAGTTTATCATAAAATACAGAACATTTTAGGATGGACCAGGTACCCTTCATAGCACTTCTCACCTGTCTGTATTGTCTTCCAGAATCTAAAATCATTGAGTTAATGCTGCACCTAATAGTATAGGGTTATTCACAAATGAGGAAAGGGAGAATGTTGAATCAGCAACAAGTATGCTTTTAATGAAAATGCAGCAGCCCTGTCTGCTCCTTCCCATCCTGCTAGTTCTTCTATTTTTTCCAGTGTTCTCTTGCTTCAGCTGTGATGTATTGCTATGGAAGAAGAGGATGTAGTTCGCTTGTACATCCATCCCATCACTTCTCAGCCCTGTTTATCCAGTATGGTTAATACAACAATTTTTGGTTAAAAACCAGTTGTCAGTATTTGTATTTTGATAAGTATAAACATTCATTGCTAATCTGAATGGTGTATTATGATTACATTTCTATTCTTAAAGTATAAATCTTTTCTTTTTCTGTTTTGTTTGAGACTTGCTTCATTGCCCAGACTGGAGCATAGGGGCATCTGCATAGCTCACTGCAACCTCAAATTCCTAGGCTCAAGGGATCCTCCTGCCTCAGCCTCCCAAATGGCTGGGACTACCAGCGCATGCCACCATACCTGGTCTTTCCTTTTTTTTTTTTTTTTTAAGAGATGGGATCTCCCTATGTTGCCTAGGATCATCTCAAACTCCTGGCCTCAAGTGATCCTCCCACCTCAGCCTCCCAAAGTCCCCGGGCGTGAGCCACTGCTACCACCTGCTTTTCGTTAATGACATAATTGCCTGATTTCTTCATTAGCTTAGTTCTATATGAATCTCTTATGGATTTTTATTGTCTGCTCCAACAGATGTCAGATACCCATCAATAATATTTCGGTTTATATTTATTATAATGATTATATAACTATTATTAAATCGTGTCAGTTTCTTCTTTTGTTTTCTGGAGCTATCCTTTTCTAGAGCTCTTTAGATCAGCAATACAGCTGTAGCCTTTGACTCGCTTTAGTTTAAAATTTACTTCCTCTTTCCTGGTATACTCCCATATTTTGCTGGCTCACTACCTCCAGTAATTTCCAGAGAATAGCTCTAAAGGAGGTAAAATTTCCAAGTTTTGTACATCCAAAAATAACTTCATTCTGCCATCACACAGAATGTGGATATGGCTGAATATAAAATCTAGACTTTATAATCATTTTCTCTCAAAATGCTGAGGGCATCATTCCATTGTTTTCTAATTTCCAGTGTTGCTAATTTTCAAGAATCCAGTACCTTTCTGGTTCCCATTTATTTGTATGGGATATGTGGTTGTGTATTATGTTTATTTTCACTTAGAAAATGTTAAACTCTTCTCTCTATAAAAGTTTTTACAAAGAGTCTTCATGTGCTGTGTTGTATGCATTCTGTTTGTAAATATTCTTTTTGCAATTTTTAGTTCTTAAGGTCTGGAGGCTGGATGTGGTGGCTCACGCCAGTAATCTTAGCACTCTGGGAAACAGAGGTGGGAGGATTGCTCAAGGTCAGGAGTTCAAGACTAGCCTAAGCAAGAGCGAGACGCCATCTCTACTAAAAATAGAAAGAAATTATCTGGACAGCTAAAAGAATATATGTAAAAATCAGCCAGGCACAGTGGCACATGTCTGTAGTCCCAGCTCCTTGGGAGGCTGAGGCAAAAGGATTGCTTAAGCCCAGGAGTTTAAAGTTGCTGTGAGGTAGGCTGATGGTACAGCACTCTAGCCCGGGCAACAGAGCCAGACTCCATCTCGGAAAAAAAAGATCTGGAAACTTTTCTTGTAATTTTTTTCTGTGTTTTCTTTTTTCTCTCTTTCTAGAACTTTTCATCATATAAGGTTCAACTTCCTAGATTGTTCTTAGAATTTTCTTCTTTTTTATGTTCTATTTGATTTATATTTTAGATAAATTCATCATTGTTTTTTCCCCACTGTTTTGATTGACTTTTTTATTTTGGCTATCATATTTTAAATGTCTAAAAGCTCTTTTGCTCAGTTAGGGTTTTTATTTTTTTACCTTTTTATGGTTTCTTTTTCTCATTCCATAGATACAATATTTTAGCTGAAGATTTAATGACATTTTGTAAAAATTTTTTATCTGTTTTCTTACTGCCTTTGGTTCCTCCCCTCCTTCTCCCTTTTGTTATTTTGCTCACTCTCACTTTCATTTTGGAAACTATTCGGAATTATCTTACAATCCCTGGGTGCCTGTTCATATTTCAGAGCAAGGCACCCAAAGGCTACTTGAAAGCTTATATGCATCAGCAAGACTTGTCAAGGAAGCTTTCTGCCGCCTTTTTAGGTTTCAAGTTTTAGATGTCAAGATAGCACTTTTATTAGGAGTATTCCAAATGTCAGTGTCTGAGGTCTATTTTCTAAGCCTCTGCCTAGTGATTGTATATGGTGGCATTTTGGAAGCTATGTAAATGAGGGAGGCAAGGAACCGTATAGTTTGAGGTACAAATGCCTCTCCTCTCCTTTTCTCTTCCCAATCTGCTCTTTCAAATATTTTTTGAATTCTCCCATCCTTTTTTGTATTCATTTCTTCTTGTCCTTGAGAGATTATTCCTTTTTTATGCATTTATTATCATTTTAGTGGGATCACTGGAAGAAGAAGAAATAAATGCAAGTGGTCAAGTCCACCATGGTAAATCAGAAGGCCATAATTATTAAGTTATGCCTCCCTCCCCCCAGTAATTTTTCTCTTCCCACCCACATCAATGGAGAGAGAGCCCATATTTATTGTCTTTCTGATAAAATCCCTGCTATCATGCCTCTTTGACTGCCAGGGTAGCATGATTAAAAAGTTGCTTAGTTATATCATTAGAGTATTAGAGTCAATCCTAACTAGGTTTCTAGTGGATTTGGGTTGAGGGGTTAATTTTCTGCTTGTTTGTATATAGACAAGGAGACAAGGATATTGGCTTTCTTTGGGGTTTGGGTTTCCCTACCACCACAACTTAAAGAAGACTTATAAGTTAAATCACTTAGTCTTTGCATTCACAACTATTAATTACAGGCTCTTTGTGAAATTAGAAGTCAGTTTGCAAGTTAAATGGATTTTTGGAAAGAGGGCTATGAACATTGGTATTATTACCACTGGTCATCTATCATAAGCAAGCACTAGTCTCAGGTCCTGTGGGTTTAATGTGGGCCACCCTTTTTTCCCCCCAGTTTTCTCCTGACACCCTCCCAAGAACATTTTCATAGGATTCCAAATTATACATTAGAATTTTTCCCATTCCTTATTTTGTATAATCCAATGCCAAGTGGTGGAATGATTAAAATGTTATTGGGATGTGGAAATAGTTCAAATTTAGAGGAATATTAGAAATTACCTTTGACTAATTTGTGTACATACCCATAAAGACCCAATATATACTTTAATTATCATGAACTAATTCTAAATCTCATAACCTCCTGATAAAGAAAAGCTAGGTCTCCAGCTTTTACTGATTCTTTTTCATCATAAATTGCTTTACCCAAGAAAAGATAAACTATCAAAATTTCTTCATGCCTACCAAATTGTAGGAGAATTTGTATGAATCTATTGTGTGTGAGATCAAATTTAAAATATAAAGAGTTTCCTAGATGAAAATCCATACAGTGTATTTGTTCTCTTTAAGATTTTTACTTCTGATTAATTCTTCCAACTTAACTTTTGCGTCTTAACTTTGGTAATTAAGAAATAATCACTGGCTTTCATTAAAGGAAAGACAAGAGAGTGGTTTATTTTTTAATAGACTTTGTTTTTGAGCAGTAGGTACAGAGATTTCCCATGTACGCCCTGCCTCCAAGCATATTAGCCTCCCCCATTACCACCAACTCCCACCAGACTGGTACATATGATACAGTTGATGAACCTACGTTGACACATCATTACTCAGAGTTTATAGTTTACAGTGGGGTCTGCTCTTGGCGTTATACATAGGTGTGTTTTTTAAAAAAAATAATGACATCTGCTTTAATTTTACAGTACAAAAATCGAGAAGGAGAAAAGAGAGCATGCAAAACAGCACGGGATGATCCGCACAGAGATTACAGGAGCCGAGATCGCGGAAGAAATGGAAAAGGAAAGGCGCCTCTTTCAGCTCCAAATGTGCGAAGTAAGAATGACTTTTCCATAATTTGCATAGAATTTTAATAGCTGTAATCTTCTCCTGTTAGTCAGTAGTCTTTATGCTTAAAGGCAGACTGTTATTAGAGAAAGGGACTGTTTCTTAAGAATTCTAATCTCCATTTTTCTCCAAGCCTTTTGGGAACCCGCCATTGCACTGTTGTCTCATATTTTGAGCCTCAGTCCCACGGGGCTCTTTAAGCCAAAACAGGATTCTTTGGTGAGAACCTTAATGTTGCTTGTGAGTGATGGTGGGGGGAAAAATGGTGAGAGATAACATTGGTGAATAATAGTAAGTTTTACTGGTACAAGTTTTAGAGCATGTCTTTTTTTTTTTTAAACTGTATGTCCAGTTTGAATGAAAGCTTAAATGAAGCAGTTGTTAAGAAAGCCTGATTTCATGAAAAAATGCAATGAAAAGCATGCTGCCTTAAACTTAGAGCAGTGGTTCTCAAACTGAATTCCCATTGAACACTTAACACTCCTTGACCTAGAGACCAACCCATTCTGACACTGCTATTGAGTAATAGAGTTCCTTTTGTAGTTTTCAGAAAATATTAAAATGGAGAATTTTTGCAGTTTTAAGGTTTTTTTCCTTATAGATCAATCTGTCTTCTTCCCTTTCTCATAATTCTTTCTTCCCTTCTTCCCTCCCTCTTTTTTCTTTTGGAGACAGAGTCTCACTTTATTGCCCAGGCTAGAGTGAGTGCCGTGGCATCAGCCTAGCTCATAGCAACCTCAAACTCCTGGGCTCAAACAATCTTCCTGCCTCAGCCTCCTGAGCAGCTGGGACTACAGGCATGTGCTACCATGCCCAGCTAATTTTTTCTACATATATATATTAGTTGGGCAATTAAGTTCTTTCTGTTTATAGTAGAGACGGGGTCTTGCTCTTGCTCAGGCTGGTTTTGAACTCCTGACCTTGAGCGATCCTCCCACCTCGGCCTCCCAGAGTGCTAGGATTACAGGCATGAGCCACTCTGCCCGGCCTCTTTTTCATAAATCTTTGGCTATTTGAAGTTAATCTGCTCATGAACCTTAAACAAGTGAACAGGAAGCAAACGATGTCAAAAGAAAATCTTGACTGGTAGTGCAAAGCAGAACCAGTAGTGTTTAGTTAACTACATAAATTACTAATGGGTTACTTTTATTTTTATTCTTTCATTATTGAATAGCAAAAATTATTTTTGATTCACCTTGGTCAAAAGTTTCAATGTCTTACACAGCATATTTCTCAAAGAGAATGTTCTACTTGTTTTGGCAAACAACAATCTGGGTTTTGGTTTTTTGACCATGTGAACTGTACATAGTTTGAGACCCACTGCACCAATGGGAAATAATCAGTTATTCTGGAATGTTTTGATATGTTTTATTTTGCTTGTCTAATAGACTAATCATAAGAATTTATAAAATACTAACACTAATCAATTTGTTTTGTACACTTTGTGACTGTGCCAAATCAGCTTTCCCTAAATTGTCTAAAGGCCACCCAAGGCTCATTAACTTTCCCAGATTCACAAGTGGTGTTCTGCCACCTGCACCCATGACCCTGTCTGGAATTTTCAACATAAAATTCTGTTTTATTTCCACAGTATCTCATTAAAGTTAATGAAATCAAGACCAAAAAGGGTGTGGATCTACTGCAGAATCTTATAAAGTATTATCATGCACAATGCAAGTAAGTAGGATGTTGCAATGTTTGTTATTAGCCAAAGTAAGGCCCCCATTCTCTCCATTGTTTGTCTTAATTCTTATTTCTTCATTTGGTGGCTATGTATAGTGATATAATGACCTTCCACAGCTAACTGGATAAGAAATAGTATTGTCTTCCATCTTCAGTGTTTATATAAATCAGTAGCTTAAATTAGGGCAACTATTTGGTTTCTCAAAAATGCTATATCTTTCTTACAAATGCTAACCTTGACAGCCTGTGGAGCTCTTCTTACAGATGTGTGAGCCCCTACCACTAAGAAGTCCAATGAGCTTCTACCACTAAAGAGTCCTTTCTGGTGACCACCTTTCCCACCTCTCTTACTTGGCATTTTACCTATTATTGCATCATTTGTACCATGTATTCCCAGCTAGAGTTTGTTTTTTGGGTTTTTTTTTCATCTAAATTAAATGAAATTAAATACTGTGGACATAAAGAATACTTTGCATTTATACATGAGTGCCTGTATAATTGGTGTTATATTTTGAGAGATATCCATTGTTCTACACTGGCACCATTTTTGTTTGCTTACTGCTTTTGTTTGCTTACTGCAGGGCTAGCTTTTTAAGATGTTTATGGTTCTTTGTCTCTAAATTTGCTTATTTACTTCTTATTTACTTATTGGGTTAAGTTTTGTGGATTTTCTGCATAGTCTTTATGTGAAAATGTGCCAGTTAGTATTAAAATATGTATTAATTGTTGGAAGTTACACAGAAAATAGCACAAGGACCTTCCAAAACTGGTCCAGACCGCTCTCATCTTTGTAAGCAGAAGAATGTAAAAGGTCATTTGGACTCGTTAAAATACTACTCTCCAAAAAGTTAAATACATAATTTTCTTTGATCTCTCTTATTTCCTTAAATAATGTTATATCTAGGAAGATCTTTGTATTCAATTGAAACATTTAAGTAGGTCAGCCAGCATTAATATTATGGAAAAGCACAAAGCTTGTGTTTAGACAAATGGAAGAGTTCAAATTCTGGCCCTGCAACTAGATAACCATGTGATCTTTATCAGATACTTCGCTATACCTCAGTATACTCATCTGTCAAGTTGGGCTAAGGTTTGTAGCATGCACCTCAGGGTTTTTGTGAGGATCTTAGAAGTAAATAAGATAATACATATAGAGTGCTTAGCCCAGTGCCTCCAACCTTGTATATGTTGACAGCTGTGATGATTCTAAGTTGCATTAAAAGTCATTTATTTGTATGTTTTATTGTCCAGGATGTTTCTCTTCAGGAAAAGCTTTTAAATGGTCAAATTGTTCTTTACATAAATTTTATTTGTTACCTTTTTTCTCTTTTCAAAATAAATTCTACCTTGTATACATGTCTTTCAGAAATAAAAATGATACATTAAACTGGAAACAGTTTTCATGTAGCATTAGATAAAGTTTGCCTGCTGAAGACCTGGGCTAGCTTTTGGCTTCATAGTATAGTGGTATAGTTATAAAACTTTAAAATATGTTGTGGTGATTCCTAATTTTAGTTTTGGTTGGATTTTTTTATCTTTCATCAATTTCAGTTTTCCTAGAAACATTTAATTCCTTTGAAACTTTTACAGAAATAAGTGAATCTCTCAGTCTTCTGAATTACAACGCTTTGGCAGCAAACCTGATTTCACCTGATTTTAGAAATCCTTTTTGATCTCAAGCTTTAAGTCTATAAAGAAGGGTTTGACCTACACAAACAAGAGTTTTTCAAAATAAAAGATTCTTTGTAAACTATAGATAGATTAGCCTTTGTTAGTAAAGGTGAAAAGAAGAGTAACTCCAGCTTGTATAGCTAACGTATCCTCTCTTTATTCTTTTATTCTTTGCTTTTTCCCTGTCTACAAATATTTATTAATCATATACCAAAGGCCAGGTACTGTGCTCAGTTCTAGGACAGAGATAAAACAAAGCTTCTCTTCTGAGAAGTTAATTGTCAGGTAAACAAAGTAAGTTGGGTCCGTCATTAATCATAATGGGGCTAGACGGTGTCAAGAAAAGAAGGGACTCCTGGCCAGAAAGACTAAGGAGAAGGTGGTACTTGGATTGAACTTGGAGGATGGTTAGCATCTGGCCATTAGAATCTAGCAGAAGAGTCTTCTCCTTTCTTCCCCTTGGGCAGAGAGATCATCAGAAGAAAAACCTACAGATTAAAAAGCCACCCTGTGGGGAAAGGTGTTCTAAACCATCAAGTAGTAGAACTGGATTATAATGGGATTAAAGTATAAATTGCCTTGTAGATGAACCCCAAGAACTCCATCATAGCAAGAAGCCAGAATAGTTTCTTTCAAGGACTATTTTTATTTGTTCCTACTTTAGTCGATTTCTCAAAACTCTTAATAGACATGTTTGTGTACCTGTTAAGCATTTTCTGCTTAGATTTTTTTTAAAAAGGTTTCTTCTGAGTACTTACTTCATTTCCCAAAGTAATTTTCAGTAACCAAGTTATTGGTACTCAACAGTGAATTTAATCTGGTAATGCTTTGTATAGTTATAACACTTGAGTCTGGATGATGATACTGTAACAGAAGAATAAAGGGAGCAAAGAAGAAGAGCTTTTAACTCTTTCTAACCCACAGCAGCTTACCTGCATTAATTGCTCCTCACTTTCAAACATGAAATTGTCAGTTACAGGGTGCTTTCAAAACAAACTTACTATCCTGTTTAGCCACTCCTTTTACCACCTACCAAGTATCAGTATGATCTGCAGAGTCAAGAACATTTACAAACATTGCTGTATTTTCCTTCATCTTACAGATAATAATAAAATAGCCAACATTTACTGAGAGCTTCTTTTATAGGCAAGGTTATATACTCCCTGCCAAAGTTTTTTTTACATGTTTTCTCATTTGATATTAGCGACAATCAGGAAACTGTAGCTCCGAAAACATAAGCAACTTACTCAAAGTCACATTCATCCATTTAATAGATTCTCAATAAATATGTGTCAAAGCAGACAAAGTAAGCACAGGAAACCAAGTAAAAAAAAATAAATTGGACTTGAAAATTAAAAACTTAAAGGATACTATAGAAAAAGTGAAAAGACATCCCATAGAATGGGAGAAAATATTTGTAAGTCATTTATCTTACATTTCAGTGCTCTACCTTCAAAACCCTTCTCTAGAGAGTAAGTGCAGTATCAGAGACTAAAATTGATTTTGCTATTATTAGCATACATTTATAGCCATACATCTACTCTACCTCCATGGCATACTATCTTCCCCTATTGTAGAAGATGCTGGTTCAGGTTAACACTTATGGATGGCCTGCTCTGTGCAGAACATTGCTACCCTCTCTAGGGCTGGCACTTAGTTAGGCCTGGGCACAGATGCTCAACGACGCCATCTTGTTACTGGCAGGACTAGGGAATACTGGGGAGGTAACAACTGAGCTGAGTTCAATAGTTTCAATAGAAAGAGTTTGGCAGGCAGGTATAGAGGAGAAGGGCATTCCAGACAAAGGGTATAGCATATGCAAAGGCCATGGTAGAAGAAGATGGGTTGAAAAAGAATAAGCAGGTGGAAATATTAATATAGCATGGCTGAACCTTAGAGTTTTTAAGGGAAAATGGTAGAAGTTAAAAGTAGAAAAGTATATAAGGCCCAGCCAAAACATTAAAGTTCCTTCATTCTGTCCTGGGAAGTTTAACATGCATCCCTATAGGCAGTGATAAAAACCTGATTGTTAGAAAATGAGAGTTTAAATGTGTCTTCTAGTTAAATGGTTAAACAAAACGTCGTGATTCCTCTCATTCTTGTTGCTGATTGACTTGCTAAAGATAGTTTCTCTTCTTTATTTTAGTAAGGTTTCTCTGCCAAAATTGTCAGCCTTAAAGAATGTTGGAACATACAGGATTTCAATAACCACTCTGAAGGCCAGTTCTGATAGGATGTATTGTTGCCATTGAATACACATATTAAGCTTTAAAAAATATGTGCCTTAAAATTTCTTGATATTGCTGCCTGGGCATGATGGCTCATGCCTATAATCCCAGCACTTTGGGATTTCTTGATATTGCTTCATTCGTAGCTACTTACTGAGCATCTGCTGTGTGCTGGGCCCACTGTGTGTGAAGATGAGATAATCTTCATCTTCAAGGTCCTCATTGTTTGTAGGGGAGATAGCAAAATAGATAAAGTGTATTTGATAAATAATCTGCTTTGGGGGCATGATTAGAGAAGCTTCCAGTAGGCCAAAGAAAATTCTAAATACCAGTTTCCTGAGGTTTATTGTATGTTTCTCTAAAGTGATGTCATAGACTGGGCCCCTGAGTGGAAGTTTCCACCTGAGACAAGAAATCTGTTCACTAGCTAGTGAAGAGCTTGGTTTCAGAATCAGGCAGACCTGGATCTGAATCCTAGTTTTGCCACTTACTAGTTGTGTGAACACCTTGAGTAAGTTATATACTCACTCTGTGTGTCTGTTTACTCTTCTGAAAAATGGAAATAAGATTGAAGTGATTGATTCATTAGGCTTGAGTAAATGAAATCACTTGTGTAAAGTGTTTTAGTACAGTGCTGGGCATGTGATAAATGTTCCACAAATGTCACCTCTTGTTATTTTTCAGGTGAAATAATGCAACCTTCTAATATAAGTTGCAGGATAAAGCTTTCCAAATTGATTAGTACCATTGCTTTAAAATCCTTTGTTTCAAGTATGTGTTGGAACATGGGGACTTTGGGAAACTGAGTCCACTCTGACTTATCTCCTGTAGTTCAGTCACGTGTCCTTATGGTGTGCAGATCAACCTCATGATATTCTGCAGGTTACTATGTCTTTCTCTCTCTTTTGAATTCAAATAGGGCATAACCAGGAGGAATTGTTCTATATATATTAATAGATGGATATGCACCTTATGAAATCACTGTGTTAGGACTGTAACTGTAATTTGCAGCATCTGTGATGCCTTCTATCAAATGTCAATTGGTAGCCATAATTTGTTGGTATATCTTTATAAAATACTGAAATCAGTTTTGTAATTGTTTTATGTAGATAAATGGGTAGAGAATGTATATATAGATAGATATTTTCAGATTTTGCAGGCATAGTTCCCTTCTTTTTTATTCTGCTGGTAAATTGCCAATGTTTTCCATTGTAGTTTCTTTCAAGATGGCTTGAAAACGGCTGATAAATTGAAACAATACATTGAAAAACTGGCTGCTGATTTATATAATGTAAGTTCTTTAAAAAATACATGCAGTTTAACTTGCTTTCATGGATAAAAATCCTCCAATTTGAAACCTGTATTAGAAGGATGTTAAAGAATAGCAGAAAAGGTTAAGTGATGTGTCAGTATAAACCTACAGCAGATAAGCCTTTTTTTTTTTTTAACTGAGAGAAGTCATCAATGGTCACATATTCTAGAGTACCTTTTGGGAGCATAAGAGGAGCAGGGAGGGGAGTATATAATCATCAGTTCTAGATGGCGCTCCATTCAGAGTTCAGTAGCGTGACATTTGAGTACCCTTTGGTCAGAAATTGCAGAAAGAATGTTTGATTATGGAAAGATAAAAATCAATTGAGTAGGCAAGTTTATGGGGTGTTTTTTTTTTTGCTTATTTTATATTTTCTCTCATTTTTAATATCTAAGTTTTGCTTTTATAGCAGGAAATCAAAAGGAAAACTTTTTTGAAAATAATACTAAATGCATATATGTAGAAATGGCAAACTTGTTGCACATAAATCATTTGGTGATAAATGATATTAAATTAAAAGCATATGTATTATATTCTGAATATAAGTAAATATCTTCAAATAAGATTTTAGAATTACAAATAATACCTTATATTCTTGTATAACTTTAAAAATACATAGCTCTGAATTTTTAAAATTTTCTTTTAGTAGTTAACATGGTTCAGGTTACAGTTAAGTTCCAAGCATTTAAAAGAAAGCAGCACCAATCCCTTGTCCTCACATAGCACTGAATAAACTTTCATATATGTATTGGCCTATTAGATTCCTGGTCATTCTATGATTCTTTTCTGGCCTATTTAATCACATCATGGTATTCCTGCTACCACCCTTTGAAAAGCCAGAAGCAAATGATCTCAAATGATACTTCTTAACCTTATTTAAAATAGTACTTCAGAGTTAATTGTATAGCCTAGATGGATTATTCAATAAGAAACCATGTTACAGTATTCACTAATTTCAAAACTCATGATGCTTTCATAAGATGAGAAGATTGTGCCTCATATCAAAAATGAGACAGTGTGAAGGAATATAGTAAGAAAGCCAACTATATATTAGAATTGTTTGGTATTTTTGGATAAATTAAACTCTGCTCATAAAAGCATAAATGATAAGTAATAGAAGTAATTTCTTCTTTCTTAGATAAAACAGACCCAGGATGAAGAAAAGAAACAGCTAACTGCACTCCGAGACTTAATAAAATCCTCTCTTCAACTTGATCAGAAAGAAGTAGGTGATTTATATGTTTGCAACAGGGCTACCAGTGTAAGTGACACTACCTGTGGTACCCTTTGTGTTTTCTGATCTGCAAAACAGGCACACTGACAGCTTCCTGCCAAGATGTTTGTGGGGGCAAATGAAATGTGTGTGTACTTACCATAAGCCCCGTGTAGAAACTATATTTTAGTTCTGCTTCTTTCCTTACTAAAAAAGATGTCCCAGATCTATAGTTCCATGACTTTCGATTTTCTGTCCTGTCTTTGAAGACATGGACTTCAGAAGTGTATCCTCTCAGGCTTTTGAAGGATAGGTGGCACACCCCATGACTGTCCTCTTCAGACCTCCTCTATTTTTCTGGGCAGCCAAAAGGAGCGTGTCTTATTTGCCAGGGAAATATTTTGATGTAGAATCCGATAGGAACCTAGTGCCACAATTAGGAAAATTAAAGTGAGGTGGTCCTTGGATACTGAAAGAGAATTATAATGCATGGTACATGTTGGATGAATACAGTACAGATTCTTGATTATAAATGTCATTTGTTTAAATAATTAATACCTACTATGTGCCAGACACTGTTCTCAGTATTAAACTTTAGTCCCTTCCATTAAGGAGCTCATTATCTAGTGGAATAAGTAAGCCATATGAACAATCCATCACATCTTAAAGGGGTATTAATGCTGGTAAAGATACATTGGAAGGTGGCTTGTCCCTGAAGAGGAAACCTAAAAGGCTGAGAGGAAGAAAACTGCCAGGCATATTCAAAGGGCTGCAAACACTTTGGGACAGGGTGGGTGGAAGAGTGAGAAATGCAGTTTCTGAGGTAAAAACTCAGGTCTGATTATGGAGGACCTTGAATGCCTCCCTATGACTTCATAATGAGGATAATTAAATAGTAAGCACCATTTATTACCTAGGAGAAAGTCAAAACATGCCTGTTGATGTTATGAAATTGTCATGTGTTAAATTTAATTGCAATATCTAACAATAATCACATAAAATACAGCATTTTTACATTGTCAATTCATTATGATATCTCACAGCAATGGGTAAACTCACTTTTTTTTTTAATACCTAAAATTTCTGAAAGAGATTTTTGAGTACAAAACAAGAGCAAAGGAACACCCCCTAAAACATGTGAAGACCTGCAGTAGTGACACTAATCTTTTAAAGCAACTCTAATGGCTCTCTTTACTAACTGTAACTCTCTGTTCTTCTCCAAATCCAGTTTTTATATATGCATTGCATTTTGGTCAAGTGAGAGAAGTCTATAGCCCTTTAACACTGTGCACCTGCTAATCTGTGGAGTGGGCAGAGTGGTCAGGAAGATCTGTGTGCATTGAGGCAAAATCTGCATCTATGTTGTCCAGAGTCTTAGGCAATGACTGCACCTGATATGAGGCCTCAAACTGTGCTTTAGAAGAACATCTAGGCAAAGAGATCATCTGTGCCACTTCTCCCCTGGTCCTGCCACCTGGCCTTCTTTCTGTTACTTGACCAGTTGATTTGCCTCACAGTAAGTGTATAAGTAGAATCTTGACTATTCCCTTTACTGAGTGTCATCATTTTTTTAAAAAAAAGCTCCTTGTTTTCTGATTGCTTGTAGATATTGTTTATTGGCTTTATCTACAACATATGCATTTTTTATTGTACTTTGCTAAAATGCAAATATTTCTCTTAACAATATCTGGGATCACTGTTTTGCTCATCATTCTACTCATGATTCAACAGATGTTTTTGGAGTCCTGCTATATGTCTAAAACTCTTCTAGGCCCTAGGAAATATGCAGTCCTTACTGTGATAGAGCCTACATTCTAAAGGGGAACTAGACAAAAAATAAGTAAATATATTGTAGGTCAGATGGAAATTAGAGATGTCTTTTTTTTTTTTTTTTTAAAGACAAGAGTCTTGCTCTGTTGCCTGGACTAGAGTGCTGTCGTGTCAGCCTAGCTCACAGTGACCTCAAACTCCTGGGCTGGAGCAATCCTTTTGCCTCAGCCTCCTGGTAGCTTGGGACTACAGGCATGTTCCACCATGCCCAGCTAATTTTTTCTATATATTTTTAGTTGTCTGGCTAATTTCTTTCTTTCTTTCTTTTTTTATTTTTTTTGAGACAGAGTCTCACTTTGTTGCCCAGGGTAGAGTGAGTGCTGTGGCATCAGCCTAGCTCACAGCAACCTCACACTCCTGGGCTCAAGTGATCTTTCTGCTCTCAGCCTCCCGAGTAGCTGGGACCACAGGCATGCACCACATGCCGGCTAATATTTTCTATACATATTAGTTGGCCAATTAATTTCTTTCTATTTATGGTAGTCTTGCTCTTGCTCAGGCTGGTTTTGAACTCCTGACCTCAAGCAATCCGCCGCCTCGGCCTCCCAGAGTGCTAGGATTACAGGCGTGAGCCACACACTGGCCTGGCTAATTTCTTTCTATTTTTAGTAGAAACGGGGTCTCACTCTTGCTCAGGCTGATCTCGAACTTCTTACCTCAAGTGATCCTCCTGCATCG